CCTACCATCCCATCTTTTGAGCCATTTGGTTTACCAATTTTAATGCCGGAATTGTGATAGCCGGTACGTTGGAAGAACACTTCAACACCTGACCGCACATATCAAACAGCATGTACCGCTGCATATTCTGCAGGATGCAGCTAAATCCAAGCCACCGAAACGTGGCCGACCGCGCAAGAACCCACCCCTGTGCCAGTGGTACAGACCGACCCAACACAAAATGCAGTGCCGTGTGGGAGAGCTAGGCGGCCCAAGTTGCCAACTCCATCAGCACCATCGTTGAAATAAATAAATAAAATCGTTGCCCTTGCCACCACCGGAACCGCCGCCCTTCTTGTGGTGGGGGCTGGGGTGGACCCACCTACACCCGCGCTGTCATCACCAACTCTCACATAAATTGCCACGGCGCCCGCAGCACCTACTCAGCAAGACAGGCAATGCGGACATCGCACTGAATCTACACCCTTAATTTAATCTAGAGACCTCGGGGGGCAACAGCAAACTACAATGTACTCCACAGAGATTTATGCCAGAAACGGCCAAGGACCGCGCTTTGCGGACAGTACCAACAGGAGGAGGGTCGAGCAGTATCATGAGTCGTGAGTGAAGCGGATCTGGAGGAACAACTCCGGTCACGGGACGAGCAGCTAGCAAATGGGAGACAAGTGGTCTGTACTGAAACGGAGGATGAGACGGATGATCAGAGGATGGAAGAGGAATTGGATGACGAAACGGTTGGTGAAGAGACAGGGAACTAGGCAGATGATGGTAGTGATGATGATCGTGAGGATGACGTGCGGAACGAGGAAGAGGACGATGAGATGGACGAGGAGGAGTCGGATGGGAAAGAGCGAGATGAGGCGGATGAATGTGTTGATCGTAAGAAGTCGGCTGTGTATCTACAATTATTATCTCGTCCTGACTGTCTTGGTGTGTATGAAACATGAAGAATTAAAAATAAGAAATAACCTGGAGCTTCATGAAGATGTGAATCACAGTCATGGAGCTACTCTGACTCTGAGCGGCTTGACTTGGTCTTGACCCCCTCGTGGTTTTCACCACCACCCCCGCCACGTACACAGTACATATACTGGTGCTACAATCAATATTTCCATCAATTTTGGCCCTTCATAGTTTGCTCTTGATGATCTACATGTAACTACAGGCATGGCGATATCATAATGAATTAATTATAGTTATCCGATTTCCGCGTTTGCACGAAATGGGTCCAATCGTACCCTTCGCTAAGGCAACAATTACTTTTGATCATGGCACGGAGCAGATACGGGTGTCCTAATCAGTCGTTCAAGTTAGACTACAAATACACAGCCAGTGAGATGCTTGGGTGCATATCGTGAATGATTGCTTTATTCTGAATTGGAAGGGAAATGTGGAAAGCGTTCGTATTGAACTTACCAAGATGGGCATGTACAATGTACATGTCCAATGTACAATGTAGGACAGCGTGGGAGTACCCAAATGAGTAACAAGCCTAAGTTCGTTAGTTAGAGCAAGGGAAATATGTCATCGCTGTCAACACATTGTGCTGCATTGAGTGGTGACGATTGTACCCAATATAGTTGAATATACCAACAATGTAAGCAGGACAATGCATGACTGAAACCCTTACCAAGCGGACGCTGCCTTCTACTCGAGCAGTTACGAGACTTGCGTGGGCGTGGGGGCTGGTAAAGATGCATGTACATGTAGGTGGAAACTCATTATCATGCGACTAGACAAGCAACAGTTTCATTCTCACTCGCGTATTGCATTATTGTGATTAGTGTTGTTCATACAGACAACTCAAAAGTCCCCATTCAGCGTTTCCATCAAAGATCATCAGATTCTACATGTATGCACGGAGAATAATCATTCTTCGTACGCAAGCAAATCATTCATCTCGTGTTGTGAATTGATAGAAAATGACCACCACAGGCTCTTTGCTTGTCTGAATTCTTTCACCTACGTGTACATGTACTTGTAAGTAATTCCTGCGTCACCACATACAGTGTACAATGTAAACAGACTTTTCTCGCCATCAAGAAATCTGGCAAGTTGACCCACACCGAGACTAAGAAGTAATATGTAATTGAAAAGAATATGATTGCCCAGTATAAGCACAACACGGCAGCGGTATTGACTACAGATGGAATTTGACTAATCATCATTGAAGGAGAAATGAAAGGCCAGACACAGAGAGTTACTTCGGGGCACAGCAGCAGCCATTGTGAGCATACATCTACAATGTATTTACTATTCACAATGTACAACATATTCGGCTTTGATACGAGGACATCCCACCATTCATGTCTCTTGGTAGAGGAACTGGCACGCTTGGCCCACGCAAAGAGACAGTTGAGTTCAACAAAGGTAATGCCTCTGCGAGCAGGTGCAGTCTTGGAGAATTCTCAATTTCTCACAACAAAAGATTGCCTGGGGACTTCGAAAGTCTTCCATTCGCTATAGGCAGTTGGTGATATGGCGATATTCGGCCCGGGTGGTGGCGGTGGTGGTATGTGTGTATGGGGGCAGCCTTAATTGAATGAATTTTGGGAAGGGTCCAATGGATAAATACACAGTTCGGTGAGTTAGTTGCTGAAACGCTTTGCACATGCACAAGTACACAAACAGCAGAGGCAAGGGATGGCTTACTCATACATGTATCTTCCCCACAGGTACACCTTCGAACAATAAATAATACATAATAAAAGTCCTAAAATAGAAATGAGGAAATAGATCGAACATAAAGGTAACAGACGACTCGACGAGAGAGAAGAGAGAGGAAATACAATGCAGAGGAAATTAAGGCAGAGAAAGAGAGAGATGGGGAAAACATGTCAAAGATGACCTCAAGCCCCTGAATGTGCCGATTCAGGAATGTCTCAATCTCGCCACCAACAAGCAACTCTGGCTTTGAAAGGTTCTGGAATTCAACTGCTTTTCGCACTTTCTTCATCTTGTATTGAGATTCTAGCCGCATGGTTAGACGAGAAAGCAGAAATGCCTGTGTCTGGTGACGTGAAATACATTGTAGAAACACATTAACACACAGCAGAATTTGGCGTGTTTCGGAGCATTACTAATGCATGTACATGTACATGTACATACATGTATTGTACATGTACTTACCCAGTCCTACAACATACTCGGCTATTTCTTGGTACATGTACAATCAGTCATGGGGGTGGCCTGGCGGGAGCGAAAAGTCCAAGTTTGTTGTGGTTCACAACATTATTGACTATTCCCTAGCCGGTTACAAAGTGGATGAGCGAATTTACTTTTCTAAAACATTCACTCTTTTATGTGTTCAACGTGTTTGTCTACAACTTGCAGCTGGTTGTTTTTGAGTTTTTAACACTTTAATCATTTTATCGCCTATGTTGAAGTGTTGACTTTTGCTTTCTTTCTCTATGGTACATTATAGTTATGGTTTTTTTTCAAATTCACAACATTCCCTGTACTATCCTGAAGAGAACGGAAAGAAAACGTTTGATAGAAAGGAAGTGTCTACTGAATTGTGGATTTGCGTCGTTGCATGCGAATACTGATTACGAAACTCTTTTATTTAGACAACTATAAAATTTATTGATTTTGCCCTTTCTCCCCAAACCTTTCCCCATTGTTACTACTCACCAGCCAGCACATGTACATGTACATGTACATGGACATGTACATACACATTTCTAGCACCTTTCCCTTCCTTTCTCCCGACACCTTTCACCATAGCTGCTACCCTCCACACTTACACACATTTCTGCAGAACCTTTTTCCCACATTCTTATCACTTTCCGCACCGCACAGCATACATGTACAATCATGGTATAATATAACCCCAACCGCGGAAGGTTGTACATGTAGTAAGGTCACTGTTTCCGAACACAGTGTCCTCCACCTTGTTTTCATGCTGTCAATCTAACAATATGTACAATCATGTACCTCGATATACATTATACATGTACATGTACATGTACATGCAAATTGATGCAATGACGTACATGTACATGTACCGGTATCTACTCTTTTCAGTTTTGTTGGCATGATTTGACTGTTTTCACCCTGAATTATTTGAAACGTTCGAGTTGAGGTACCCTGATGAATTGAATATACATGTACATGTACCCGTACACGTACTGTCGTGGACATGCAAACCTGGTCGCACGTCTAGCAGCCCCAAGGTGCTGGCCATGCAGCCGTAGGTAAGCAGTACACAGTGGTCGATCGCGTCCGATCAACATGCACTGCATGCAACGAGTTGCATGTACATGTACGTGTACGTAACGACTAACGTTCTGTACGTGCTGAGGGCGCCGGCCCCGGTTAATCGACTGGATTTCCATGTTCACGACAGTACAATTCACCTCTACTACAAGGAAATGTTCACGAGGGATGCACCTAGCGTGCAAAGAGTGCTCCAAAACGCGTGGTGGCAGAGCGTAGAAGAGTCTAAAAACACTAGCACCAGTAGCAACACTAACAGCCGACGGAAAGGCTCTATGGTTATAACCCACAGTTTCATGCACAACCCTCTGCAACCATCAGATGATTGCAGGGTTGTGGATGAAACTCCGAGTTACAACCACAGAGCCTTTCTGTTGGACTGTTGTGTACGCAACTTCACAAGTACAATCAGTTATGTTCTGGTACTGGTAGGCTGTGCACTCGAACGTCTCTTTCTCTTGAGACACGATCTACGAGCGCGCGATGCAGGCATCGTGTCTGGCATCATTGAACCTAATGACCCCAGCCGTGGAAGGGACGTTGCCAGCCGCGCATTCCACTCCAGTATGTGCACCCTGTTTCCCGCTGACCTCTAGGATGTGCTAGCTGACACGGGTGATCGTCAGCTTCACTGGTTTTATTTCCTGCGCCCGCCATCAGGTCGCAGAGGCAGCATGGCAACACATCCCGGTGAAGATTTCCTTCGCAGAGACCATCAACCTGAAAGCGAAGCGACGAAACAGCAACACTCATCAACATCAAATCATATGCGCCTGCCCCGAACTGTCGCTGACTGTGTCTGCTGGCATCAGACGCAACACCGCAAGGGACATCCTAGCACCTCTGCTAGGCTGAAGACGTCCCTCAGCACTCGGCACACACGACGTGAAAATTAATGATGTGAAGCAACACAGTCGACACACACAGTGCCACACGCATCCTACCTCACTCAGATCATATTCACTGACTGTCGTCTCGAATGATATGTAGGGTCTGCAACAAGAAACCTGAACCTAGTTCGTGACTGTGCAAGAAAGGAGAGTTGAACGCTGCAGTGCAGTGTTGGATTGTGTGTGATGCAGACCCAGAGATCTGAAAACTCCGAACATTTTTAGGAACCATTGCGCATACTTACTGAACCACCTGTGAGTGTGATTTCTCGAAACGAAAGACGTCTTCACTTCATGGGGATCTGCTGGTAGGACATTTGTCGTGTTCAACTCAAAGGCACATTTTTACAACTTGGTGCAGCCAACATTGTAAACGGGACGATCTGAGTCTACCGCAAGCCTTCTTGACCAGCGGTCGTCCAAAAACGATCGTCCCGACCTGCGATCTGCTCACGTCGTTATACACCCTGAATTGACAGCATGGCAATGGATGGCGCGGGAGGCGCGGGTATGTTTCGCTGGCTTCCCGATTCTGGACCCGACCTACCCATTCCGCACACGGGTGTTGTGGACGGGATATTCCGTGACACCCAGTCCATTGAGCGCAATGTAAGTTGATCTACATCTTAGCATTAATTTTATACTCAGTCCTCGTTCAATGTACGAATCACGGAGTACATGTATGTCTAACCGAAACACACACAGAAAAGAAAGGTGAACCCAGGTCCTCCCTCATTCCAGAATTCCAACACGTGCCCCCCTCCCCCCCATAAAAGTAATAAATACATAAACAACTTTCACAACAAGGAAACTGTTGATTGACAATCACAGTCTTTGCGACCAAGCATCACCTCCTATGGCGAAGGTCCCTGGTTCACATCCACATGGTATCAGTCAATTTTGTTCTTGGGTCTTTTTTTCCTTTCGAACTACTAGTACCTGAAGCTAATGAATGTGTCTAACTGTTAAAGTGTAATTGCTTTTCTGCATGTGTTCTGTTTCTGTTTGAAGCCACCATTTACCTTACAATACCTCCTGGCCCAGGAGCAGAAGTTGGCAGAACGAAGCGGTGGCGGCATATATCGGCTTGGTAGATGTACTCAGATGGTAGTTGTCAGTGATCATGGACTGCTGAAGGAGCTACTGACCCTGCCGTACCCATCATCTACTGTAAGTTCCCTGCGTGGAACAGCCAGCTGTTGCAATGATGCAATTTATCGTTCTGTTGAGCTTAGGGCTTAGAACATTCTCGTTGGAGCTTTTTCAAGGACGCGGTGCCGTCCCCCGCAAGCGGCCCTCATTCCGAGATGTGGTGAACAGTTCGCATGTGAAAACGCAGTGAAAAGTACAAATATACGAAACGTGACAGGTTCATCTCCACCAGCGCTTGGAGCAATTCTGAAGCATGTTCTTTTTCTCCCTAGACATAGACATGGAAGGGCTTCCGGGCAGCTGCACTTACTCAACACGAATGTCGGACATGAAATTGAGCGCCATCCTAGTGCTTTTTTCACTTCCATGTGTCCATTCCCAAACAAACTGAACGTGAGCTGGGCTTCACCTGTTCAACCGCGATCCACAAAATTCTCGCACATCATCCCGAAACGGGACCATTGGTCTCACCTTCAAAAAGCTCTGTGCATAGTTGGTTCAACTTTGAAAAATGGGTCAACTATTAGCTTCCCCTTCTTACTCCCCTACCACCCCTACTTCTTTTTTTTTAGGAAGAACCCTTCTAAAAACTCAGCACAGCTTAGAAATTTCATGAAATGTTCATTTTCCCAACTAAGGTTCAACACGTACAGTCAACTTCGCTTATAACGACACTCGGCGGGGCATCAAAAACGTGTCCTTATTCGCGAAGTGTCGTTATACCCGAAGTCTCATTATATGTATTACAGTGGGATGGGACTTTGCTCTGGGCATGGAAATTCTGTCGTTATTCGCGAATTGTCGTTATATCCGGAGTTGTTATTAGCGAAGTTGACTGTACTGGATGATGCCCTCCTGGATGAAAATTTGAAGAAATTTGTTTTGCATAGTGCTGGCAGGCACAGTGGGTTGGTCAAAGACCATGATTGAAATACGAGAGGTACCTGATTCAAGTCCTGCCTGGGAGTGGTTTTTCCAGCCGTGCTGCTACCCACAGTGAACTGGGAACTTGTGGCCAGGCAGAAGGGGTACATGGATGCGGCTAATGGGGTTTATTCTCGGCACTCGTGCCAGTGGTTGTGAGACTTATCCCCTCAACCCCACCGTTAGGCGCTGCATCTGCCGCTAGGGATTACCGGGTGTTAGCGGCCGTCGTCAGTTCCCTTCGGGAACGGACACGATAATTTACATTTTTCTTATAGTGTAGCCAAAGACTGTTTGTGTGCTACGGGTTGGGCAATAGATGACAAGGCTACAGTGGAGTGTAAATAAATTAAAAAAAGGTCTAAAAATTAAATTCGTCACGAGCGATAATACAACCAAAGAACTATACAGCCGAAGAACTAGCCCATAGATCACTCAATCATGACTGTGTTCTTTACTGTTAAGCAATGCTCGCAGAATCCTTGGGCAGCTGAAAAAGAATGGAGAAGATTTGTTCATGTGTTTGGACTTCACTTTTGAAAAACCGCCATTGGTACATTACATTATAGGCTGTCCTGTCGTACACATACTCATGAGCTCATAATACTTCTTCCGTTAACAAAAACTTTATGATGGATTTTTGAGGGACTGGGTTGCGCAAAAACGGCCTTCCCTAGCAAGCCATAAAAGAGGTACGATGCAAGGAAAGCGACCTTTCACGACAAGCCCAACGGAATCGATTGTTGCGCTGTGGCAACATAGGTGATGACAGTCATGGCGAGCGAAGCTGAATTAACACTTCTCCGAGGGGATAATGCGCTGCATGCTTGGCCTCTCGACTACTCTAACACTGAGTTTGAGAGTGATAGAGAGCGATGGAACGGAGCAGCGAGCCTACACAATGAGCGAGGAAACAAGCAACTGCTCCGATCGCACGGCGCAATGAAATAATTCTGAATTCAAGTTCTTGTTCAGCCTGCGCAAAGCCCAGATTCGAATGCTCATGACCATGCTTTCTTTCAGAAGTATGCAATCCAACACGAGTCTCGTGGCTAAGGAATGTCGACTGGACTTGCCAGCCGCTGCCGTTCAATGCTGGCAGCGGTATCCATCAGGGAAATTAGAATCAGTTTGGTGGTGCCTTTACTCTCGCGTTTTGCGGAGTTCTGGAGAGTGGAAATGAAACCAGGAGTCGTAAAATATTTTTACATTTTCACGACTCCCTGGTGGAAACGAGTAATCACCACCGCAGCGGATCAAGCAGCTTAAAAGCCAACTTGAACGACGGCAATAACACCAAAGTTCAGCGGAGTGTGATCAAAGAAGCCGAGGAAAAGCTGAAACTAGCTGAACAACGACTCGAGAGAGATGACGGCTCTGCTTATTCTGGCAACAGTTTCTCTTGTAAAGACACTGAACTACCTGGGCTGAACTACCTTCATCCAAATGAAAAGGCGACGAGGAGAGTACCTTCATCCAGTGATTTTTATTTACAAAAAACACACACACCTTTTGACGGCACAAAGCAACAAGGCAGCGATGAGACATATGGAATGGCAGGAGTGGGGGGGGGGGGAGGCAGGGGCAGCTTGACCGACCGTAGGGTCTCGGCTTCATTGCACCCCAAACAAAAACAAAGGATTACAGAAAATACGCGGTGGGGGGGGGGGGGTAGATAACTGATTTGCAGTCGATACAAACTGTTCTTGACCTGTTCTAAGCGTTTTCATATCCATCAAAATCCATCACGATGTTTTGTTAACGGGGGAAGTATATTATGTTGTCCTATCTCTCTATCTCTGGCTGTATGTCTGTCTGCCTGCCTGCCTGCCTGTCTGTCTGTCTGTCTGTCTGCCCGCCCGCCCGCCCGACCGTCCGACCGCCCGCCCGCCCGACCATCCGCCCGCCTGCCCGCCCGCCTGTCTGCCTGTCTGTCTGTCTGTCTCTCTATCTCCCTCGTTTTCTCTCTCTATCTCTCTCTCTTTGTCTCTCACATACATACACACACTCTCTCTCTTTCTCTCTCTCTTTTCTCTCTCTCTAAATCAATGTTTATGCACGTAACTCGCAGTGGTAGAACAGAAAATGAGAGAGCTTGCAAGCTCAGGGCCCTACGCTATGCTTTTTTGCCTTGATGACCGGGACAAAAAATGCATAGGGATGTTATAAATTTTTCAATTCTCCTATTTTTTCAGGCATAACCTGGGATTCGAACCCGCACAATCGCCCTACTTGTACATTCATTCCCCGATACACTTCGCATTCATACCCATTCTTCCAAGTTGCTTCACATTAAGATCTTGCGTTTGAAAGCCCTATTTGAATATTGTGGCCAGCTGTTTGTGGCCAGCTGTGTTTGATGGCATGGTTCGGTACGGGACAGATACGGGAGCCAGCAAATATTGTGGCCAGCTGTTTGTGGCCAGCTGTGTTTGATGGTACGGTGAGGTACGGGACAGATACAGGATAGCGCCAGGCGTGACACAAACAAACAAACAAATAAACAAACAAATAAATAAATACCGAATTAAAGCTGTGTGGACCCTGGCTAATGCCAGACGTTACTGAAGTAACGTCTTCTGCATAGCTACGGGAATAAATATATAATTTGTTTGGCTTGTGAACTCATATGCTCTTCAGGTTGTCAAGACCACCGACTTCAACATGTCGTCTCAACAGTGGAATGCCCGAGTTCTGGCCGAGAGCAGTCAACTACCGCCATGCCAATTCCTCAACGGACTACACCATCGGGTCCTGAGGTAAGAGCTGCAGAGTGCACTGAAGCTGTCCACTGAAGCTGAACAGGACAAGAACCTGGAAGCAGCCATGACAGCAATACACGAGGTCTTCCAAAGCGATCTGGCAGGTTGGTGTTCCTTTAATTTGCCGTGGACTTGCAGGGGCGTAGCTAGCTGATCTGTCCTGTGGTCACCCTATACTGGAGTATAATTATGTTGTGTGGTGACCATGTACCTTATGGTTGCCAGCTTTACCCTTTCACTATGTTCAGTCAACTTCGCTAATAACGACTGCGGGTATAACGACACCTCGCGAATAACGACGGAATTTCCATGCCCACCGCAAAGTCCCATCTAACTGTAATGCATAATTATAATGAGACTTCAGATGTAAAGACACTTCGCAAATAAGGACACTTTTCTGATGCCCCGCCGAGTGTCGTTATAGGCAAAGTTGACTGTAGTACCCATGCCAGCCATTTGCAGGTGTGGTGACCATAGATGCAGCTAATGAGTTTCTCCCCCTTGTCGGCCATTGGTTATGAGCTTAACCACCTCACCCTTGCCGTTAGGCGTTGCATCTGCCACCCTGGTATCACAGGCATGGTGGTGGCCTGGCACAAGCGAAAGTTCCTAAGCTGGTTGTGTTTCTCAATACAATTGTATAGCCGGTTGTAATGTGGACTTTTTAACTTTACTTTTTTTACATATTTTCTTCATGATGCCTCTGCCTGTTTGTCATTATGATATCTTAGGTAAGCCGCTAAAGGACGTCATATTCACCGTCTCTGTTGGCATCTTGAAGAAGCTCTACGTAGGGGATGGTGCGAGTAACCTTGATGATGTCACAGCGGAACTGTGCGATAAGTTTAACACATTTCTCAGCATCCTTCACTACCTTTCACTTCCACCGTTCATGGTTTATCTACAGAGTTGTTTGCTTTTTCCCTACATAGTTAGATTGTTAACCCTGTGAATGGGCACGGGCGGGCTAGAGAATTTAATGGGCGAAGTGTATACATGTACATGTGCATGCAAAACATTGCGCAGCAAAGAGACTGGAATGAGTGTTGAGACTGAACCGTTGAAGGGAGAATTTCAAAAGTGAGTTGCAGAAGTTCATTGTACATGTACATGTACATGTACATTGCTTTTGCGGTGCTCTCGGGGCACGTACAGTACATGTACATGTACATGATTGTGCATGTACATGTACATTGTACACTGCATTTTCATTTGGCTTTTCACTCTGTCCTATGTGATGGGTGAGTTCCTCGAAACCCTGTGTGATGAGCAGCGAACGGCGCGATCTTGCAGGTTGGCGGAGTGGACGCAGTTCGGCATTCTTCCCATGTGCTACAATCGCCTGCGGATAGAGGCAATGAAATACAATTCCGTGAGCATGAAACACTGGCACCAATGTTGGTAGCAGCCACCTTCCACAAGTTATGGACGAAGTCGCAACACTTCAGTTCGAAATCTTCAAAGTCAGTCAATAGTTTGGAACGATACTGACGAAACAAAGTTTGCCGTTATTGCTAAACCCAATAAATACACAACCGCAAATTGTCGCTCCAAGCAATGTTGAAGTCAGTCCCGATATTCTTTGGACAAATGGGATTGAAGTTTTAATTTCTTCCAAAGTTGAAGGGAATTGAATGGGGAAGGTTCTGTAGAAAGCATTTACTAGCGCAATGGGACTCGAAGGCCAACTATGGATCAGCACTTACATCTAGGCTTTCCCTAAATCGGCCGGCCAAAAAATCGCCCAAAACGAGACTTATCGAAAAATCGCTAAGGTTTCGCCGATTTTGGAGGGTTCCTTTGAGAATCGCCGAAAATCTACCAAATCTTCCAACATTTCACCAATTTTGAAGCCAATAATGCCAACAATTCTTTTAGCCGATTTTCCACTATACTAATACCCCAATTTTGCACCCGAGTATCGAACAATCAGCTGATTTTGCAGCCGAAACTGATGTATTTTTGAGCTGAGCGAAAAGCCGAATAGGCGAAAAAAACGGGCCGATATGGGGAAAGCCTATATACATGTACATGTACATGTACAGTCAGTATAGTATTAGTGTCTATACAGCAGTTGTTGAGAAACCTCGCACATCCTCGGGCTTGGAGCTATCAAATCTACATGTACATGTACATGTATTGAGCAGATTATACTGCACGCTGTAAGCTATTATTATTGCTTCTAATGTAAGCGTGGAATGACCTTCCATCTACTCTACGTTCCTCCCCCAACCAATGTCTTTTCCTTGGCAGCATGCTAACTCTCCCAGGGCACATCGTAAGGAAGCATTAAATTAAGTCTGCGCCGACTCCCCTAGTAAAACATGAAGAATTAAAAATAAGAAATAACCTGGGGCTTCATGAAGATGTGAATCACAGTCATGGAGCTATTATGAATTATGAATTGGTTGAGTAGATAGTTCCGGAATTAATTCCGTGTTCGATATTGTTTATTTTTTACATATTTTTTTTAATTTTATTCGTGTTCGATATTGAATTTTAATTTTAATTTATATATTTTTTACAAATATTGTTTTTATTCCATTTCACATTTTTTCATTCGTGTTGGGTTTAACTACTCACTGTACTGATACATGGTGATGATTGTGCTTTGCTTTGCCCGTAAAAGAGGCCTTCCCTGTCATGGAGCTACTCTGACTTGAGCGGCTTGACTTGGTCTTGACCCCCTCGTGGTTTTCACCACCACCCCCGCCACGTACACAGTCCACAATTATACTGGTGCTACAATCAATATTTCCATCAATTTTGGCCCTTCATAGTTTGCTCTTGATGATCTGCATTGTAACTGCAGGCATGGCGATATCATAATGAATTAATATTATAATTATCCGATTTCCGCGTTTGCACGAAATGGGTCCAATCGTACCCTTCGCTAAGGAAACAATTACTCTTGATCATGGCACAGAGCAGATACGGGTGTCCTATTCAGTCGTTCAAGATAGACTACAAATACGCAGCCGGTGAGATGCTTGGGTACATATCGTGAATGATTGCTTTATTCTGAATAGGAAGGGAAATGTGGAAAGCGTTCGTATTGAACTTACCAAGATGGGCATGTACAATGTACATGTACATGTCCAATGTACAATGTAGGTCAGCGTGGGAGTACCCAAATGAGTAACAAGCCTAAGTTCGTTAGTTAGAGCAAGGGAAATACTTCATCGCTGTCAACACATTGTGCTGCATTGAGTGGTGACGATTGTACCCAAAATACCAACAATATAAGCAGGACAATGCATGACTGAAACTCTTACCAAGCGGACGCTGCCTTCTACTCGAGCAGTTAGGGCGCGCTCACACAGCGACCAAAACCAGCGTCCACGCGGCCATGCGGCCAAGTTGCATGGCAACGGCATGAACTTGACCAAAACGTCGCGGCCACGTTTCAAATCGTGACCGCGACCTCCGGAGGGGGGTGCCACGACTTGGCGGCAACATGATCGTAGACGTGAAGCGTATTTGTGTACAACCTGGCCTGAAGTATGTTCTCAAAATCCGGTGTGTTGATTCATGAAACTCGGCGGTTGTCGATCCTCGACATTTGCACATTTATAAAATTTTGTAGTTGTGGTCCTGCACGCACGCACCGCCATACATGCATTCGTTGCCTTTTTTGGACGATGTCAATTTTGGTGTTGTTTTTGTAGTTGCTTCGTTGTCAGTTGATCGGGTCAGTGATCAATTTCTACAGTGTACTCGTTCAATACGATGGCAGTTTGGCCTGGCTTTTCGGTTTGGGGAATCATCTTTCTCTACTTTTCTGCGATGATGGAATGCCATACCTCAAGACATTTCAGTTACATATCATCGGAAAATACAGTTCTCATCTCGGCAACAGACGAAAGAAACCACTACCGGAATTTCCACTGCACTGGCACTTGCTCTGACCACGAGGTCAGGAAAGCGAAAACGCTTGGATGTCAGCGGCAGTCTCTCAAGAGTCCAAACCTACCTGATTGTATGAATTATTTTCGTCGACTTCAAGAGTACGAGCCACGAGGCACTTCCTCCAAAATGCAACATGCGAAAAATTACATCCAAAACGGGCCACAACTTTATTAGGAAACGCACGAACTCTTTTGGATACGAACTGCAATTCGTAAAGTTTGTGTGACAACTTCACGTCTACGCGTGTACGAGGCCTAGTGTGAGCAAATGTGGAAGACCGTGCCCGGTTGGATGTCGCTGCCAATGGTTTGTGGGGCAGTCGTTTTGAGCGTACACTTATTGATATACGGGTTTTTAATCCTCACTCACGCTCAAATCGATCTGCACCACATACTATTGTGTATCAGCGACATGAAAAAGAAAAGAGAAGGCATTATGAGGAGCGGGTGAGGCAGGTTGAGCAAGCCTCCTTTGTTCCGGCGGTCATGTCAGCCAGTGGCGGAATGGGTCCAGCATCAACAGCACTGTATAAACGAATTGCTCATCTGTTGGCTGAGAAGAGGGGTGAGCATTACTCTCATGTTATGGCATTTGTTAGATGCAGGATTTCCTTCAGCCTTCTGAAATCCTGTATCATGTGCATTCGCGGTTGTAGGCGTTTAAATTTTGGTTTGAAATTTGCACCCTCCTGCGGAGCCCACGCTGCTTTGGCAGTGGCGGAGGCTCGCTTGCCGACGTAACCGTCGGAGATCATCATGAACAATGGACTGACTAATTATTCACTTGTCCTGTCTTTCTAAATAACATGTTATTGCACATGTTCTTGGTTTAGTTTTTGGCCTTTTTCGTGCTTTGGAGTTAATAACATTTTCCTCAAAAAAAAAAGTGTGAGCATGACTGCCACGTTTCTGCGTTTTGCTGACGCATGGACGCGTGCTCATAGTCCATCGGCCAAATCTCAGAAAGGGCCTCTTTCGGCGAAGGTGATGCACTGAAGCTCCAACTAAACGCCCTTTGGCACACTAGCTCATGAGACCCCATGGAATACGAATCCGATTGTTGGACGTTGCCAATCCAGTCCAGGATAGTCGAACTGGGTCGAATACCTTCTTCCGATTTTCGTAATTTCGTCCACCATTACATCTTTCTCATCGACTTTTTTTTCGCTTGGCGAATGTTCTTGAGCCGCTGAGCAAAACCAACGCACGCTCGAACACTTGAAATGCCTGCATGTTGACGGTTCGCAAGATTCTAGCGAGCTTGGTGGAAATCTATTATTTATTTTGACATTTTTGGGGGAATCTGAATTAGAACGGTAGAAGCTCATTCGGAGAAGACGGCGTGTCGCCGCTGTCGGATTGTCGCTACTGTGTTTCAGACGTATTTGCTTGAACGTGCTATTGAGGATGGACAGAAGATGAAGTGACGGCTTTCTTGAACACGGACGTTGTGTCTACATTGTAGCTGAAACATCTCATCTGGCGTCTAGAACGCAATTATTATGAGTTGTGAGTGCCAGCTGAGCTGAACACAAGCTGGACACCATTCGTCAGCTGGGAATTTGCATCGAAGCTCTTGATAGCCACGATAAGCATAATTATACAGAGGTAACCTTGTTTGACTCAATACGCATGCAGGTGATACCACTAGTGGCACTACAATGTAAATGGTGCAAAATTGATGCAACAGCGAATATGTACTTCGTACAATCACGAATAATTCATGATTGTAAGGCAAGTGTTCATGCCTGTCATAGAAGAATTTCAGCCCGGAAGTCTTATTGTCATGGTCATAAATAATACAGGACTTGAGTTGGCTCTGGACATAAACACACTTGTGGTGAATACGGTCATTATTGCGAGAAAAATATTTAGCCACTGTATGTTAACACCTGATGCCGCACTACACGCAATATTTCATGTACATGTATGTGAGACTCAATTGCATCCACAAGGCCGTAGATGCATGTAAGCACACATACTAGTAGTAGTCGACATGTGGTGCCTTCCTGCTGCACATGCACATGCGGCAAGTTGGCAACGACACATGACCTATCTGCACCGCACAGCGTGAGCTTAGAAAGGAATATTGCACACATAGTGATATTTGTGTTCCGATATCGTTAAGCCGGTATACATGTACTAGTATCCTTATACATGTACCTGGTCACTCGATAGGCGATGCTGACTGTACTAATCTT